TTTCACCTTATTATTGTTTGGTTTGTAGTTTTGAACTACATCACTTTTCCAATGCCTTACTCTTCATGCTTAGTTCTTCTTGCAGAATGTACTTTTCTTATGAGAATTCCCCCAGAGAGTTGATATTGTAAATACTGTGAGAATATGATCCAGAAGGAAACGTTTGCAGAGCGTAATACTAATGCCGTTGCCGCTATGAGAGTTGCAGGAGTTAATGCCCTCGAACAAATAATCCAGCACTGCATACATTTTGTTGAAACAAGAGAGGATGATGGTGGATGTGCCGTTTGCAGGTTGAGTTTTTGCTCCAATCTTTTTATCTAACCGAATTTGTTGAGCATTGATAAGTTATTCATACAACTGTTTTTAGCTAATTTCGTACCATCATTGAGCTACATTTTTATAGAGGTTTAACTTAGTACAACTTCTACTATATTATATTTTGCTCTCTAGCCCTTCTAATTTGATCCAACACTATTTTCTTCTATTCTCTTGTTTGTTGATTTTTTTTTTTAAAAAAATAATGAATCTTAACAAAATACTCATTCGTGTTCATCACACATGCACGACAAAAGAACAATATTCATTTAGATTTTTTTTTAACAAATAAGAACAATATTCATTTAGAGTTTTTTAACAAAAGAGAAGTTTTCGGACATGTTATTAAGTATTTATTTTCTTAATCTAGCATTATTTTATTTTTAGAAATATAATTTTAAAAAGAATTATAAAATTATTTTCCCGCACGCACACACACGATTCAAGCACCTGCTTTTTCACAATAGGTAAAATAGTCCAACTAAAAACCATCATAGGAACAAACCAGCCAACTTTTTAAGTTGATTTTTTTAGAAGATGCAGTCTTTGGATCCTGAGGTTGCTTGCTTGCTTGCAAACAAATGATCCTCAGGTTGATCTGATTACGGAGATCTTATATGTTGTGACAATTGTCCTTGTTCTTTTCATAGTGATGATTATATCTTGTCCTTTTATGAAATTATTGTGTGTTCAATGAGTTTTGTATTCTTTCTTAAACCTTGCAAAATGTTCAATAGGCTATTGCATCCTAATGTAATGATTTTGTTCCAGCTTTGCTCATTCTAAATTAGGATTATTTATTTAATTACTAGTTAGGAAATCAAGAATTAAATTCAGATATTATTTTGTTCCTTTTCACCTTATTTCTTGTGTTAATCTTGGTGTTTGAATTTGCTTAGAATTATTGTGTCTCACTTAAGTTAGGTTCATTAATATTTTTTTTTACAGCATTCATGTTGCCGCAAAAAAAGTATCTTACAAATCCTATTTTCCACTGACTTACACTTTATGCTTGGTTCCTCTCGCAGAATGTGTTTCTCTTCTAAAAATTCCTCCAAACAGTTGGTATCATAAATACTGTGAGAATATGATCAGGAAGGAAACATTCGCAGAGCGCAATACTAATGTCGTTGCTGCGTGAGAGTATGCTCTCGAACAAATAACCCATACGTGCATACATAACGTTGAAACAACGAGGATGATGGTGGATGTGCCATTAGGTTGAGTTTTTTCTCCAGTCTTTTTATCTAACGGAATTTGTCGAGCATTGATAAGTTTTTCAAATAGCTATTTTTGGCTAATTTCATATCAATGTTGAGTTATATACTAGTTAGAGGTTTAACTTAGTACAACTTCTATTATATTATATTTTGGTGCAATTAATACACAACGTCCATACCTTTAACTATTATTGTGGAAAAAGTTCATGCCTTCCATTTTTTTTTTCACCCTTAATTACACATTTGATTGTGTAAAACATCAATTTCCATCAATTTTCATCCAATTTCTTTATAAAAAGTTGTGAAATGATGAATATACCCTCATATTTAAATAAAATAAAATAAAATAAAATAAAAAGAAAAATAAATATCTAATTGCAACTATAGTCCCAATTTTTTAAAAAGTGCAAACGAGTCCCAAATAAATTATGCTTCCATAATAGGTAATTATGTTTCCATTTTCCATAGATCACATTGGCTGTTTCCAATTTCTCAAGGGTTGTTGTCAATATAGTGGGGGACATCATCGACTTAACAGAGAGGGGCAACCACCCTTAAAAGGATTCCCAATCTCGTTGATGTCGACAAGAACGACAAGTCTTTAGAGGACTTGGTTCTGTTGCTGTTCGAGACTGCACTTTCTGGATTCAGCCTTGAGGAACCAGACACCTTTGGCAGTGGATTCATTGAATGCTTAAACTTGGTTTGAGCATTTATGAGGATGATGCTGGTGAGGCTGATGTTGACATGCCTGCATTGGAGGAAGCAGATGCTGATGATGAGGGTTCCAAGATGGAAAAAGTCGGTTAAGCTTCATTCGATTCTAGAGCCGTGTTTTTCGATTAGTGGTTAACATCTTGATTTTCAAGCTCATTAAGACCGAAATTGGGACGTGATGCCATATCGCCAAGAACGCAAGAGCTAACATCAACCAACTCCTCCATAAGAACCTTAAAGGGAATTGTCAACTTGTTGCAACCTCGACCTCTACCCATTTATAAAAGCCCCAATTGGTCCAAAACCATCCCATGAAGACTTGGATTCATTCGTGTCACCACCATGACCCCAACCTCCATTACCACTGTATCCACCACCATCGCCGTCCTGTCCAAGATCAATATCACCACCACCACCAGCACAAGGAACATAAATTTTAGCCGTCAAATTGGTGATTAACTGTTTAGTTTCAGTGCAAAGGAAAAGGGTGCCCGGGGAAGTATTATCTCCAAATCTGGGGTGAATGTTTTATTTTTTATTCTTTAAATAATTTATATAGGACTCGTTTGCACTTTTTAAAAAATTTGGGACTATGGTTGCAATTAGTTCTTTATTTTTCTTTTAATCTTATTTAAATTAGGATATATTAGTCATTTCTCAGCTTTTTATTGAGAAATTGGTTAAAAATGATGTTTTGCGCAATCAAATGTATAATTTAGTGAGAAGTAGGGTTGAGTGCTAGGGACGTCTTTCACAATAATAGTGAGAGGTAGGGTTAAGTGCTAATTACTCTTATATTTTGTTCTCTTATCCTTCTAAAGTTGATCCACCATATCCTCCTATTCTCTTGTTCGTTGATTTTTTTGAATACTGAATCTAAACAATTCATCAGACATGCACGACCTAAGAACACTATTCATTCATCGTTTTTTAACAAAAGAGAAGTTGTTGGACATGTAATTAAGTATTTTTTTTTTCCTAATCTAGCATCAGTTTATTTTTAGAAATATAGTTTTAAAAAGAATTACAAAATTATTTTCTTGCACGCACATGCACGTATTCATGCACCTTTCTTTTTACAATGGGTAAAATAGTCCAACTAAAAGCCATCATAGGATGAAACCTTGCCATTTCAATGAGTTCTCAATCTTTCTTAAACCTTGCAAAAAGTTAAATACGCTATTGTATCCTAATGTATCTAATTTAGGATTATTTATTTACTAGTTAGGAAATCAAGAATTAAATTGAGATATTATTTTGTTCGTTTTCACCTTATTTCTTGTGTTAATCTTGGTGTTCGAATGTGCTTCAAATTATTGTTTTTCACTTAAGTTAGGTGAAATATTTTTTTACAGCATTCATGTTGCCGCAATTTTGTATTAGATCTCTTTTCTTATTTTTATTTGATTATGGATAATATACGAGTACCACAACGACCTACTAGGCCATAGACCTGGGTTCAAGTCTCCTTGGGCTAAGGGTGAAATTTCAGAAAAAAAAAAAAGGTATCTTACAAATCCTCTTTTCCACTGACTTGCATTTCATGCTTGGTTCCTCTTGCATAATGTGTTCCTCTTCTAAAAAAAATACTCCAGATAGTTGGTATCGTAAACACTGTGAGAATATGATACAGAAGGAAATGTCTGGTGAGAAAAATATGCTGCTGGAAGAGGTTCACGAGTCAATGCTCTCAAACAAATAACCCAGAGGTGCATATGTACAGTTGAAACAACAGAGGCTGATGAATTTTTGCTCCATTCTTTTTATCTAACGGAATTTGTCAAGCATTGATAGGATGTTCAAATAGCTGTTTTTTTTCCTAATTTCATACCACTGTTTAGGGATGGCAATTCGAACGGTTAAAACCGAAAATCACGGTTAACCTTTGATTTTAATGATCCGGTTTGGGGTGGGGCGGGTATGGTATTTAGCGACGGTGCTCCGCCTCGAACCGATTACCCATTAAAAAAAAAAATTTGAGCAATTGGGCTTTCCATTATTCTTGTCCTTCGGGTTTCAGTCAGTAAAAGACAA